TTTTTAATTCAAAATTGAATTTCAGTTGAATGGATAAAACCCTTATTTTGAAGAGTTATGTTCATTGTTAAATGACACAACTCTTGGATTTTTTTTGAATTCAAATTGGGAATCTTTTAAATTAATTAATTAATATGACTCTTAAGTAAAGAGACATGACCATTCCTTGAAAGACATATATTCCTAATAAATACAATCATTACCCATTATGTGAAGTAAAAGGAAAAAATGTTAGAAAAATAATTTATTATTAATTATAATTTCATTGAATATCATGAATAATAAAGAAATAATTTATTTATTTCTTGAGTGCTTATTCCATGATGCGGAAATATTAATTAATAATAGTATATATGTACAAGAATAATTTATTTCTAATTATTTTTATTTTTATTATATGGACTAATGAAGAAATAATGTATTTATTTATTTTGTTTTTCCTATGATGATGAAATACGGAGTATAAATTAATGATAATATGTACACGAATAATTTATTATTAATTATTTTTCAATGTGTTTTGTCCCCTTTGTCTGAGATAACTCTCATTAAGGTATATTAGCAAATTGTGTCGAAGAGTAATCAAACAACTCGGTCTCCTTTGTTATATCTCAAAAATTCTATCTTGCCATCCTTGTTACTTATAATAGGATAGATAAGAAATTTTTAAAATAACATTCTCATTGATCACGCGCGCCTTGAAGGTTTATCGAGTTAATTACACCAATCTTTTTTGAACTATGTATGACTAGTTTGATCCCTTTCATTAGGGTACGTAAAGAACTGAGAAAGTGTTACTTTTCTAACTGCAGATGCAATAAAACTATTTTTATTGTTCTTATAATAATAGTGAATATATATAATATGATCTGTAGGGTAAATATTACGGAGTACTACGTAGTATGATTTTCAAATAGAAAGTGGATTTTTTTATTCAAGTAAGAAGTGTAGTAAAAAATAGTTTTAGAAAGAGAGGAAGTGATTTTTTTCAAAGGCTATACAACAAATTGATTTATTGTTCGTTGATTTAGTCAAAAAGATGAACAGTATTTTTTTCGTAGGAAAATGTTTTTTTTCATTTTGACCCTAACATAACACGTTTTCCTTTTGATTTGGATTCTAATTAAATCATTTCGCTTTGAAATGGTCGTTGCCATTATTGTGCAAAGCGTGATGTATTCCATTATTGCGTAATACATGATGTATTGCATTGCTGGAATTCTTTTGTTAATGCAGTGAACCTACACAAATTCTATAGTGGACCTAAGGTTTACTATGAAGCTATATATTGGGAAAATAATTATTTTATTACAATTTAAATAAGTATTGTTTTTTTTTAAAAAGATTTTTTATATGAGAAGGTCCACACAAATGATAAGCACTCAAGATGCACCAAAAAAGCACTCGTGAACGTAATGTGTTAGTTAATTCTTATAATTGTATAACAAAGGGGTTCCCATGAGAGTGTTAGTTTATTCCTATTATTGGATCAGAGGGGTTCTCATGTCATAGAAACTATAAAAAGAAAAAATAAATATGTGCTACCTCCTTATGCCATTGATCTTCTCAAACACTATTCACAGGGTCAAATTTAACTTACTTTGTTTATTTTTACTACCCATTTCATGAAATAATATAGTCTTGTCACCTCTAGTTTGTAGAAATTTTCATGTAGTTTTTTACTATGTACATTTTATTTTTAAATTTTACCCTATAATCAAATAAATTGATTAGAAAATAAAGTTGGTCAAATATCCTAACGCGTATTAAAAAAATCTTTGGTGGACGAAGGGAGTAACATACTAGTTCGTGAGAAGTAGACATATGGTAGTATCCAGTGGTTTACAAAAAAGGGCTTTAGAAAATTATAACAATAATAATTATGGCAGTATTAGTTTGGTAGTATATATATTTTAGTCAGTTTCTATTATTGATTCCTATGAGTGCTTCTTTGGTGCACCTTGGATGCATATCATACATACCATTTTCGTGGGCCTTCTCACATAAAAAAATTGTTTTTTCAATTTTTTTAAAAAGATGCTTATTTAAGTAGTAAGAAAATGCTTATTTTGGTCATAGGTAGGTTATAACATATGAATTTGCAGTTATAACACCCATACTCTCCATGTATTTTATCATGTGAAATTTGCACTAAATAGTATTAAAACATATGTTCTTTCCCAATGTAGTACTTAAACTTTTTATTCCCTAAATAATATAATACGGAGTACTTATATAATGTTTAGTGGCGGAAACAATATCCAGTGATGGTGGACATTTAGTTTGAACAATGTCCAATGGAGGTAAATATTTACTTGACCAGTGGACATTGAACAGTGGTATTAAATTGGAAATTAAAAACATATGGTACTACATTGGGAATGTCAATATGTTTTAGCACTATTTAGGTAAATTCCCCTTCTATTATTCCTTAAATAATACAATTATTCCATTATTTATTATGGTATCAAAGTTAAGGTATCTCTTCTCACAAACCTAGACCCCCTTCTTCATCTACAACCGTGCGCCAGTCTTCTTCATTGATGATGGTCAACCGCCACAGATCATGGCATCGTCGCCCTTTTTTCCCTCTCTCTTTATCTTAAAAAAATTATGTGCATGTCTAACAGTCACCACCGATCTCAACGAGCATACCTAGAGTAACTATGACCTTTAACTTTAGCATTATAAAATAAATATTTAGGTCATAGTTGGATATTGAAAGAAATTGAAAAAAATTAGAAGTTGAAAAAAAATTGAAAAGAGTTTGATTCAATTCAAACAAGTTGGAAAAAACTAGAAAACAAAAGTATAAAAAACATGAAACGTGTTGAAAAGATTATTATATTTATTAAATTCTAGTTATTATTTAAATAATTTATAGTATACTTTTTCAATTTTTTACATCTTTTTTTCTTCTTTGTCATTATATTTTTTGTAACAAATCATATAAGTAGTATTTGGGTCACCCACACTCTTTTTAACTTTTTTTCTCTTTTTAACTTTTTTTTTACTTTTTAGTATGAATATTTACCATATAATATTTTGTTTATTTTTTTGTAGTGTTATTGGCTCTTTTGCATTTATTAATTAGCAATTTACTAATCCATGTAAGAAAAATTAGAAAATAAATAAACAATACTTTTTCTTAATCTTAATTGAAAAAAATGTAACAGACTCCGACTCATGAACCGGGTTCACCATGATCCAACTGGCCAAAGGGGTTACATATATGGTATTAAAGACCATCAAAATAAAGACTGATGAAAACAGTACTTAACCATGAAATCCTTGTCATATTTATACCAATAAAAATCCCTGGGTAGTTCCCTAAAAGTTAATAAATTCTTTTGCCATAATTTAATAAATAAAATCCTCTTAAGTACGGTCCTCATTATGTTTGTAAGTAAAGACCTTGTTTTTTTATAAATAATAGCCTTGGGAAGTTAATCCCTTAAGACGTACAGAGTAAATGAAACAATGTGGTCGCGGAAGCAAAAACCAAAATAAGTCCAGTTCATGAACTAAAAATACGATAAGTGTGGGTTCAAGCCCAAATTATTTAATTTAATAATAATGAGGAAGTCATAGAAATTCTACATCCACCGTCCGTTGATCTCCCCATTCTCGTGTCCCTCTGGGATAGGCTTCAGGTTCATCAAGTCTACCTGCGTATATCAAAAATATACTACACGCTTAGCATAAGCTGAGTGGTAATCTAGTAGTAGAAAACATAGTGATAGTTCAGAGAGATACACACATGTTCATACCTGTACTTAACGTATAAGTTTAGAGTTTTAATCCTCAGAGATCTGGAGTATATAAATGTAATGCAGAGTGGTAATTTTAACTTACAACTTGAAGACGACTTGGATCGTAAGTAGAGAGTGTTAAAATTTAAACTTGAAATTTTAACTTGAGTAGAGAGTGTTTTGCATCCATGAGCTTCTTCTATCAAACGTATAGATTGGGTTGTCACCCTACTTGGATCGTGAAGATTGAGAAAGAAAAAAAATTGAACTTTACATAATCTATGGATAATAAATAATTAGATAGAATTTTATATAATCTTGCTAAAAAAAATACTCCCCCGTCTTAAAATCATCTTCCCGTTTGTGTTTACGAAATTTGACCGACTTTATTTTAAACTTAATTTATTTGATTGTAGGTGTAAAATCAAAAAACAAAATTTATATATTTAAAATTAAAACTACATCAAAAGTTCTACAAAACAAGAGGTGACAAGATTATATTATTTTATCAAATAACTAACGAAAAATAGGTATAGAATGTGATTTAAGTTTGACCATGTGAATAGTAACTGGAAAAAGAGTTTTAGGACGGATGGAATACTTTAACACTATGTTTGGTTCAAGAAATTTGAAAAGGAAAAGAAAAAAAATTAAGATGAAAATCATTTTTTCTTGTTTGGTTAAAAAGGAAAAGAAAAGAGAAGTAGATGGAAAAGAAAATAAAAAAGTTAAAATATACTAAGAGGGAAAACTAAAATCTTTCCTTTTTCGTGAGGAAAAATGAGAGAAACTCATTTTCTTTTCTTTTCTTTCCTAATTTCTTGAACCAAATATAGGGTAAAACCACCTAGCCCTGCGTAGATTTATAACAGTACATGAATTTTACATATTTCATAATTTGAATACAGATAGGTGAAATAAAAAATGTTGAAAAGCACGGTAACTTTAGCACGCTCGAGTAATTTAGTGTTCCAACTAGTGAAATTGACAAGTTAATATTTGAACCATAATTAAAGTGGTGTGGTTAACCACTTCTAGAAGTTAATAAAGGAAATCTAATGAAAATTGAATCATGAAATGAAATTAAACCAGGTTACTACTAGTCATCATTGTTCAGACATTGGAAATGGTCAGCAGTAAGAGTGTAAGAACGAAGACTCCTTTCCTTTCTTCAATCTACAATTCCATTGACCATTGACCAGTCTAACCAAAATGGAGTACTATATATACATACCTTTGTTTACCTCCATTTATCTTCTTTCACCCCAAAATCTTCACTTTCCTCAACAACAATTCTTGGCGTTTCAAAAATGGAGAACTTTGGAGGCGACCATGAGGGAGAGTTTAGGAAACTTATAAGTGAGCTTGCAGAAGGGCGGGACGCCGCGGCAAAGCTCCAGATGATTCTGAATGGGCCGCTCCCGGCCCATTCGGATCACGAGTTATTATTGCTTCACAATGTCATTTCCTCCTACAACAAGGCCCTCGCCATGCTCAACTACAACAACCCGTACTCCGAGAGCACTCATCCCGTGCCACCGGGTCCCGCATTCGGAACAGAATCTTCTTCCGCATTTACGGGAAGCCCTCACAGTGAAGAGGACTCAGACCGCGGGGGTGATGGTTCGCGTAAGAGGTATGCCTTTTTGAGTGATTGATCTAGGCCAAACACTTTTACGTTCAGAGAACATCATTAAACTCTGTTCTTAGGTTTTAGTCCTATTTAATGTAAATTTTTCTTTGTAGAAAAGCTCCTCGTTGGACGCAGAAAGTTCAGGCGTGTCACGAGTCTGGGTTTGAAGGATATCCCGATGACGGCTATATCTGGAGAAAGTATGGGCAGAAAGACATCCTTGGGACCAGATATCCGAGGTTAAGAGACTAGTTTAATTGTTAAGACATTGGATGTATAAGATAAGATCTTATATTTAAAATGTACACTATCAAGCTCGTTTTCTGGAATCATAAAATATGCTACGTTTATATGCTTGCAGGGGCTATTTTAGATGCACACATAGACATGCCCAAGGTTGTTTGGCCACCAAACAAGTCCAAAGATCCGACGAGGATCCCAACATTTTCAACATCACATACTGCAGAAACCACACCTGCAACCAGCCGCAGACCGGCGGAGCCGCCAGCCACCACCAGCTGCCGCCCCAGAACCCGGCGGAGAGCCAATTGTCCATTAACCCCATCACCCAAGTGTCCCAACAAGAAACTATCCACCACCATGAAAACCACCCATTGTCTTACCATTACTTTGACGACTTCCCTTCAACCACAAACGCCGCAACGGATCATCACCACCGCTATGGTTTCCAGCAGCACTACGACCCGAATTTCGGATGGAATGCGTCTTCGCCAAGCGGCTTCGGCCTTGTTGAAGGCAACCAGGTTACTACTACTACTACTAGTGTGAGTGGGGTTTTTGGGTCCACACCAGTTTCATTGACAAGTTCCTCTCATGTTGATCAAAGTTTCCCTTTTGCCACTATGGGATTGGACTGCAACATCACGTCCTTTGAATACCATGGTAAATTTGACAATTGACTATTTGCATAGAGAGTGTAATTATTTCCCTGTTTAATTACTCGTGTATAGTAATTAAACAGTTGTATAAATACATGTCTGTTGTCTAGTTATATGCATTGTTTGTTATTTACTTCGTAGAATTTTATTAGAAGTGTAATTATTTTGTACATGTTTTGTAACACCGTAATATAAGAGTGTAAACTGTGTACTTGCTATGTCTTAATATTCTAGTACTATGTCTTAATTACTTATGACTTTTGTCTTAAGTGGGTTTAAGTTATCGGTTTTTTGTCTTATTAATCGATACGGGGCTTTAAAATAATTTTCCTATTAGTTCAATTTTACCGTTCTATAGTTTAAAAATGAACATAACATTAAATTCATAATTCTAATCCTTTCAAAAGATATATCGTTGGATATCCATATCTCAAACATCATTCATAATTTATCTGATTAAAATATAAATGTATTTTAGTTTTACAGTCATAAATACAAGTGTGGGGTCTGGTTTTAACGGATTTTGTGTTTATTATTTATTTTTTATTAGTTCACAACTCATACTTAAAAATTATCCCGTCAGTAATTAAAATGCAATGTATTTCGCTTGCTTGGCAACCTTAAGTAACGGTACGGTGTAAAAATGAGTAAATATTTGGAGCGTCGACATCAATTATTAAATTTCAGAGAACTAGATTATAATCGCTCATTTCTTGGAATATTCATGCAAATTTTTCTCATATAAAATCCTCGAAATTATTTTGAAACTTCCACTAGGTAATTTCAACGCATATTAATCGAGAAAATAAATTTTTCAGAATAAAAAAATTTATTTCTAAAAGATTTTAATTAAATCTCAAAAGTACCAAAATAAATCAACAAAAATACTTTTTTTTTGAAAATCATTAAATTTGAAATTTAACTAATATTTTGAAAAATAAACTTATTTATTACTGAGGTATAAATTTCAAAAAAAGTAATTAGTCATTTACGTAATTTATATACTCCATATATAATTGAGGCCAGTTATTGTCTATGACGAAAAGAGAATCATTGTCTGTTAGACCTGGACACGATTCCAGTTCCAAACTGGTACCGACACCGGAACTACCTGTTCAAGAACCGGAACCAGAATCTTTGGGGCAGGGAGGGAGAACCGGGACCAGAACCGCATCCTTCCCGAGTGGTACAGGCATCAATTTTGGGTTTGGGGTACCAGAACCTCCGTTTCACGTTGCGATTCTGATTCCGAAACCAGTTTTAATTTGTTTTGAACTTTGCTAGACGTTTAACTATTTTACAAGTAATAACTACATTTAGATTAGTAAATATCGTTTTTGCATTAAAATATCAATTAAACAAAAAAATTCCAGAATCAAAACACGTAGCAAAACCGGTACCATTGACGGTATCTCCCTTTGCCGGTTCCGAAACCGGCAATTCTATAACTCGAACGGGTCAAAAACCGGCACGTGTCTATCCATATTGTCCGTACATATGTGTGAAACATTTGTCAAACTTGTAAATTTCTAACACTTTTATTATTGGATCTTTTCTTAAACAGCGTGCATTATTTGCACCTATTTATCGTTTGACCATTTGACAATGGAAGGTAAAAAGTTAATCAGTGGCCACCCTACTCTTTGCAAGCTTCCCTTCTTTTTTTTTCAACTCACAAAAAAAATCACTTTTATTTTCAAATTCTTTAATTTCCATTCACTTCCTTCCACTTTCCTAATTTAATTTCCTTCCAACCAAATAGACGGCAAATGTGAAACAAATCTCACATAATCTGGGGCGAGTAGTTGCTTTACGACCAAAAGAAAAGTTGAAATAGATGCTTTAGTACATGCATGAACTAAAACCGAAAAAGAAAAACAAACAAAATTGATTTGGAACGTAACATCCGAAATTCGGAACTAAAGAAAGAAAAAAACAGGAGTAATTTACCTAAATAGGACTAAAACATAATGACTTTCTCAAAATAGGACCATATGTTTTTATTTTCGAATGTAGGACCTTTGGTCATTATTCTTTAGTCATTATTCAAGTAATGTCTATCATTGATGGGCATTATTCCTTCCACGAAGACATTATTAAGTCCTATTTAGGGAATAAAAAAGTTTAAGTCCTAAATTAGGAAAGTCATTATGTTTTAGTCCTATTTAGTGCAAATTTCACAAAAAACAGTGATATGATGCTTGCACGGTTGCACCCACGGTCGACCCGGAGAAAATAGGGAATAGACTGTAACAGTGAAGTAAAATCTATCAATTAAATTTTAATAACAGATAACATTATAGTAATAAGGGTAATAAATCATCAAATTCATAGTCTTATAAATTTGTAATTATATACTCCGTACATTAATAGCTAATTGGGGCTTCTTTTTTATTGTGATAATTAAAGTTATAATGTGAGCCTAGAGTTTGTGATAATTTGATTTAGATCTGTTTTTTAAATATTAATCAAGGCTATTTATATGTATATTCAAGAAAAAAAATTGAGCCCTCTAAGAAAATAATCCATGGCCAGGTGGCTACCTTGCCCAGCGCGCCCTTGATGAACCTGCCCTGGTTGCACCATGATCATTTAATTATTACTCCATACGACCATACGTCTTGATACTCCATCTAGTACTCGACTACTCGTAGCTTGTTATTTGTTGCCCTTGGCCACTATTTAACTTTTGCTTTTGTTCTTTCATTCCACTCTTTTTTAAAGAAAAATTGTAGTGTCACACCACTTTAGTTTTTTTTGTAATCTCTTATGCTTAGAGAATACGTATCAAGACCCTATATCTAGTGACGTATTTTGGTGTTGTCTTGATAGATAACAATAATGACTATGGTTGTGAACTAGGATTCCGACCAGAGAATACGTCTGTAGACTATGGTTGTAGTAGACAGCGACTCCAGATGACAAATAAATCATCAGCAACGACCTCTATCATTGGGTATGACAAGAAAGATGTTTGATCATTTTGGAATTACACTTTTAGCCTCAAATTAGCATGAACATCACAAAAGGTTGAAAATGTGTTGGAACACGGGTTTACGCCTATGTCGTACTAAGCCGTGTTCGTCTTATGACAGGTTTTGATAATGCCAAACCGCCGTGACCATAACAAGGCTAAAGTGAGCAAAACCAAGGCAAAGGAACATGGCATGATGATTTGAGAACCAAGAACCAAGAATCAAGAACGAAGAATTAGAATTGTATTGAGTCGGTCTTAATGTGATCAAGACCGGCACAAACTTTCAAATCTTGGCTCTCTAGGCTTCTCTCATCAAAATATCTTTTGCATATTCAAAAATGTTTTTCTTAAGTTTTAAACTGCCTAAAAACACTTGGAGTTCGCCCAAACCAAAAACCAAGCCATCCGGCGTTCGGTCTTCGGAAACCGGCGTTCGGCTTTCGGTTATCGGCGTCAGTTTTTGGCGTTCGGATCAACCAAGTGGTTTTCAACTTTTAATGATTGGTTTTTACTTCTGGGCATATTTAAATAGTTCTCCAACAAAAACGATTCAAAAACCACCTTTCGTTTTTGGTCGTTTAGTAAAAACCATGCGAAACGGCATCAACTTGGCTAGCCGTGGTTTTCAACTAAATGACGTGGTTTTCAAAATGTTTCACTTGATTTCTTAGCAAAATGCATTAAACAAACATTTTCAATACTTGGTTTTAATTTTGGAGAACTTACTTTTTTGACATCGGCTAACGGCTGACTAAACCAACCATGGGTCTGGCTAAACCATCCCAACAGCGATGTTGGTGCAACCAACAACGCTGTCTGGCTTGGGTAGCTGAAAACCTTGGTTTGGCGTTAAGTCTTCCAACAGCGATGTTGGATGTTAGACATCGTTGTTGAGCCAAGGTTGGATTTCCAGAAACTTCTGGAACAGCGATGTAGGCTTCCCTACAGCGCTGTCCAACCTAAGCCAAAAATATAGTGCATTGGCAGAAAGTCTCAGGACAGCGATGTTGACCCAGCAACAGCGCTGTCAGGCCAAACTTCCATCTTCAAAGTCAGACCTAAACAGCGATGTTCTAGTATTGAACATCGATGTAGGGACCTGACCGTTGGAAGGAATTTAAGGCTAAAACTTTCCTTGTTTGGAAGTCAACAGCCAAAACAGCGATGTAGGGGTATTGGACATCGCTGTTGGCATGACCGTTGCTTCCCAATTTTTTAAAAACCAATCCTAGAACAGCGATGTCCAAGCCTAGGACAGCGCTGTCTGGGTGAATTTCAGCAGATCCAAATTTAATCAAATCCCACAAATTGTGCCAATCACCCCTTAAATACTTTGGTCCGTTGGAGCCTATTTTTCTACTATAAAAAGGGGTGTTTGGGTCTGTTTTACATAACACATTACTTCACAACTCCTATTCTTTCATTGCATATTATTCATACATTATTCATAGCTTTTCGAGAGCCATTTTTGTGAAGTTCGTGTTGTGATCTTGAGCGTATTACTTTACTCATATTCACTCTTTTGAGAGAGCCTTGTTCTTGAGTATTCTTAGTGTTCATAGACATTAAGGGAAGCTTGTTTCCCTTGGTTGTACGAAGGAAAGGTATTTTCCTTCGGGTTGAAGTCTTGGAGTGTGGTATCTCCAAGCAAGTGTTGTTGAGGCTCGTGGGACTCGAGTTCTCAGGTTGTAACGGTTTGTTAAGCACCCGTAAGCTTAACGGAAGTAGTGTAGCTCGAGAGAGTCCCTCGGGAGACTGGATTAGCCACACGTTGTGGTGAACCAATATAAATCTTGGTGTGCTCCCTTTACGCTTTCTACGCTCTTTACTTTTTCACGATCTTAATTTTTTATTCCTGCGATTTCTACGATCAAACGCTATTCACCCCCCCTCTAGCGTTGGTCACTTATTCTAACAAAATGACCATCATATATATACATGTGTGGTAATATTTTTGTGACTCATACTCATTATTATTTTTTATTAAATTTTTTAAATCAATATCAATAGTACAAATATTTAAGTCTATGCATGCCTCTAACTCATGTACAAAAAAATAATGCAAAGACTAGGGGTCCCGGGTCATAATATGACCCAAGGTTCAAGGGTCAAAAGAACCATTTTGTATTATAGAATATTAGAAAATTACAAAAGAAAATTTATAATAAATTATTTCATTTAATATTTTATATTAACTCTATAATAGTGTTTAGTGGACAAATAGAACATTTTTTTAGGAACAAGTAATTGCTGAGATGATGCTTGTTTCCCACGTTCCTTTAGTAGAACAGTTAGTCGATCTCCTTACAAAAGCACTTCCATTTCCTTGCTACACATTTCTGGTCTACAAGTTTCTTCTCTTTTCACAGCGTTCAGCTTGAGGGGAGATGTAAGATAATACTACTATTATTCGTATTGATGGTAGTGTTAGTATATTAGTCAAGTTTTATGTTTGGTAGAATCCTATTTACGTCAGGGTCTCTCCCTATATATACACTCTTGTACACCCCATTATTCCTTGAGTAAATTATTATTCTATAATTCTAACATATATGTATCTCAATGGTACGGTGTGTGCGTGATATTCTTTGCATTGTTTGTATTCAACTTCTTATGTGTTGTAATGATAGGGTTATATACGATATGGATCGAATTGAAATTGGATTGATGATCGACCCGAAACTTTGCCAGAATTTTGTAAGGGCTTGATTGAGTTCCTTAGCTTTATCAACAAACATTCAAGAGATGGAGAATAGATTGCATTAACTATTGAGAAATTTACCTAAATAGGACTAAAACATAATGACTTTACCAATATAGGACCATATGTTTTTATTTCCCAATGTAGGTCCTATGGTCATTATGAAGTAGTCATTATTCAAGTAAATGTCCATCATTACTGGACATTATTCCTCCCACTAGGTCATTATTAAGTCCTATTTAGGGAATAAAAAAGTTTAAGTCCTATATTAGGAAAGTCATTATGTTTTAATCCTATTTAGTGCAAATTTCACTTAACTATTAACTATATATAATCAATAACGAAATGCACACACATTCTCTTAGGGTTCCAAAAATTTGGATGTCTTGTGGAGTTGCAGTAAGATGTGATGGATAGATTATTAGAGAAAAAGTATGATGTGATAGGTAGGGTATGAAAAAGTAAGGGTAAAGTGGTTTTTTAATAGAAATGGAAAGTGTTTTGTTGGAAGTGGAAAAAATGAAAGAAGAAGTGTTTTTGAGAATGGAGGGAGTACTCCTTATTTTCATTTTGGGACGTCCTAAAAAGGTCTTATTTTTCCTTTTTTTTAAATCACAGTTTTTCTTTCTCCTCTCCATTACTTTTAACCATACATTTTCATTTTTTTGAACTTCAAAACTGCAGAGCTTTTTTTTTTGGGACAAAGGGAGTACTCCCTCCGTCCCTAAATAAACTTCCATTTTTGACTTTTTGAGGATTTAAGGGAGGGATATTTATGTGTTGACTTTCCAAAAATACCCTTGATGTAATGTGTAAAAGTAAGATGTGATAAGTAGATTATTAGTAAAAAGGTATGATGTCATAGGTAGGGTATGAAAAGGTAAGGGGTAAAAGGGGTTTTTTAAGGAAAAAGAGAAGTTTATTTGGGGACAAAGAAAAAACAAAAGGGGAAGTTTATTTAGGGAAGGAGGGAGTATAAGATAGGAGCTCCCTAGTGGGTAGAATATCTTAGCTTGTCTTGTTTCAATAACAATATCTTGTCTCAATTACTATGGTCATTGTTTCTCCGTGTTAGACGCTACAAAAGCATTTAATGAAGCATAAATATATACGCACTGCATTAAAGAAAACATATTTGTCTTTAACGCGTTTTGATTCATTCCTATATTCCAGAGCTTTATTTAAATATGTGTGAAATTAATTAATGAAATTAAACCATAAAAAACAACTACTCCCTCTTTAGTACAGTCGAAAGATAACATCCATACATATCACTGCAACTGTTGAAGTTAGGTGGTGCATGTGTTATGAATTATAGCAGACTAAACATTATAATCGATCTGCACTAAACGAACTTTAAATTTCTACCCACATTTCATTTATTAATTATCCTTTAAAATCAAGAAAGAGATTAGAGAGAGATGTTTGGACATGCATGCATGTACTAGCTTGCTAGAAGATGACGACATTAATAAACAAATTGTTGGCGACAGAAGAAGGAAGTCATATCGAAGAAAGAACTGAATCCCTTTGGGATTCGATTTAGTATCTTTCCTAGTTTGTTTATTTCTTGTTTTAGTAGGAATAGAAATATGGTAGGAATAGAAGTTTACTTATATGCTTTATTCTCTTCCTATATAAAGGGGGTTAGATCTTTGTATTCACAGAACAATTCAATATACAGAATATTTTTTCCCTCTTATCAAATTCTACATGGTATCAGAGCGAGTTCTGAATTCTTGAGACCTCAAACACGCTTATTCCCCTGCCGGTGGGCATACACAATTCAATGCCTACCGGTGGGATGTTGTAATTTTTGATTTTCTTTGACTGTTCTCCCTCACTAAAGAATATCATGAATTCCTTCAACGAAGAACATTGCTGTCGAGGAATCCCGCCCAACCATCAATCTTGAAGAAGTTGTCCGACAAGGGTTGTTCTACAGAGACAGACAACTCTTTCCTTAGCAGGGAAAAAAAAAAGTCGGCGTTCAGGGTGTTCGAAAAGAATGGCGTTCCCCCTGTTTGTTCGAATACGGTGAAGGTTCGAAAAGAATGACGTTCCTTTACTCGACGGATTATTCGGCGGATTCGAAAAGCTTGGCGTCTCCGTTGAAGAAAAAAAACTGAAGTGTCTAGATGACACTCGGACAACGATGGCAGCGGCTTCCTCAAGCTTTGTTGCTTTGTTCAATATTTTGATGTCCAAGCTGGGCATGTTGAACTCTCATGCTCCAGCTTGAGGGGGGGTGTTGGCGACAGAAGAAGGAAGTCATATCGAAGAAAGAACTGAATCCCTTTGGGATTCGATTTAGTATCTTTCCTAGTTTGTTTATTTCTTGTTTTAGTAGGAATAGAAATATGGTAGGAATAGAAGTTTACTTATATGCTTTATTCTCTTCCTATATAAAGGGGGTTAGATCTTTGTATTCACAGAA